TAATCTTACGTCATACTTGCGGATTTAGTTGAATGCAATAGGAGCTTCTGGGCTTTGTGGTAGAAACAGGTGATCACATACACATTTGACCACAAACTTGTAGATTTTACCAGAAAATGGGACGAAAATTAGATGAAACCACGGACCAATAAAAGAGATAAGAAAATAAGTAAATCAGTTAGGCTATCATCTCATTCTCTCTCTCTCTCTCTCTCTCTTCTACTCCTACTTATAACTATCACCACCACCACCACGAACTACACAAGTAGCATTATCCTCCTCATTCTCCTCTTCCTTTATCTAACTCTCATTCTTATTATGTTTCCTCTTTTACCTTATTGGCTCATTCTTTTCATTCTCCACCTCCTCCGATCTCCCCAAACTTTTCTCTTTTCTCTCTTCTTCTTCTTCTTCTCCTTCTCCTTCTCCTTCTCCTTCTCCTTCTCCTTCCTCTTCTTCTTCTTCTTCCTCCTCCTCCTCCTCCTCCTCCTCCTCCTCCTCCTCCTCCTCCTCTTCTTCTTCTTCTTCCTCCTCCTCCTCCTCCTCCTCCTCCTCCTCCTCCTCCTCCTCCTCCTCCTCCTCCTCCTCCTCCTCCTCCTCCTCCTCCTCCTCCTCCTCCTCCTCCTCCTCCTCCTCCTCCTCCTCCTCCTCCTCCTCCTCCTCCTCCTCCTTTCTCTTAGTTGTTGTTGTTCTAGTCGTTGTCATCATCTATGTCTCCATCTTCTTCTTCTTTTTCTTCTTCCTAATTTCCCCCTCCTCCACTGTATTATCTTTCCTCCCCTTTTCCTCCATGCCTTCCTCTTCTCATGTTCTATTTCATTTGTTCCCCCTCTATCACCTTCCAATCTAAATTCTGCTTGTTCCCATTACTTGAATATAACATGTTACCCTTATCTAGATATCACTCCCTTCTTAGAAACATTACCAGGAAACGAAAAACAAATTCTGACTTTTTATACCAAAAAAAAACTGCACCTGCTTTCCAACTTGACCGAATTTCCTGTCTAATATCTCCAAAGATTGTCTGACAATCACCATCCAGAATGACTGATGACAGACAGAGATAACACAGGAAACCAACTCCCCAATCTTAAATTTCCTGGGAAATCATCCCAAACTCTGCCTGATGGGAACGCACCCACCTTTGATTCCCCCCCCCCCCCCCCTCATGAAGTTATGTACCAAACTTGGATGAGGCATGATTCACTTTGGTATCAAAGTATTGGTCTTCAAATACTTGTCTCTTGGATCACTTACTTCTCATCATCTACATTAATATAGACTGATATAGAAGAGGAAACAAAAATATTCTTGTCCAAATTCCCCCATCTAAATCTTCTGGGAAATTATTTTAAAACAACAGCAAAAGGTCATTGCATCCCCGATCTCCCAATTCAAAACTGGACAAGAAGAAATCAATAGAAACAGAAAAATGTTGGTCCCGAGCCCTCTTCCAAATCTGCATTGGTAAATTAGCTTAAATCCTCCTTGATGCAAATGCACCCCCTACTACCCCCCCCCCCCCCTCTCCCCTCCCCCTCCCCCACCTCCCCCCCCCCCCCCCCCCATACAGACATACATCTAAGCTGGGGGAGATTTAAAGAAACAAACCGAAAAAGAAATGCGTTAGTCCGAAGTTCTGGGTCAGTCCGTGGCTAGGGGCTATTTGTGAACCACACGCCAGGGACGGTGTTCGGCCCGAGTCAATTCCGATAATTATTCTCGATCCGCTTTAGAGGGTCAATCCATCTGCTTGGAGCCAGAAGGGCAGTAACTCATCTACCATATACCTTAACACAGAGTTAACACCCTTTGGCTCCAACTAGACAAATTGACGGGGGACGTTTGCCTCCTGATGGTCGTCGAATAAAAAAAAAATGGCCCCCAAATGACAATCGAAGATGGGTTTAGTTCTAATCAATCCTCCTATCCATCTGGGTCAATAGTAATATCTGAGCTGAGCACCGGAAGGCTACAACTTCACTTTTGAGAGATATCAAGATTTCCATACCATCCTGAATATCAGCAAGTTAATAACATTAGAACGAGTATAAATAAACAGAGAATAAATAAACACAGTATGAATAAACACAGTATAAAGTGAAGGTAGTGGTATTATTTCTGTCTAATAACATCAAATGTAGTGGAAGGACAGGTGGGTTATGTAGATTCTCATTGCCTATTTCAATTCTAATATCAATATTAGTATCAATAATGTCAATGTAACTGACTCACTCATGTTTTTTCAATTTGAAGTAAAAAGTACAGTGAGCACTTACATACACTTTTTGGAATAAGATCTTAGTTTCGCAGCCAAGCAAGATACTTGTCTATAAACCTTGTCAATTCAAGTTTAAATCGGGTTTCAATTCTCAACAAAGACAAAACACATCATGGGGCTATTGTCCAATTTGTCTGGTTTAAATTACATAAGAAAAGGTTCTGCTTTTCAAACTAATGTGCTATCGACCAGCTGAAAAAACAGGAAAGCATTATTAACCCTCAGAAACAAGTTAATTCACACCCCCGTCTGGGCTCAACCAAGCTCCAGGCACAGCTGTACATTAAAGGGCGATCCAACCCTTGTAATAAGTTGATTTGTATGAAAGCAGACAAATAACAGAAACAGAATGGTAAAAGTTTGAAATGAATTGGACCAATAGTAAGGAAGTTATGAGTGTTTGAAATATGAGATCACTAAGTCTATGCAAATCTCAAATTGGTAGTTTGGTCAGTGGGTTGTGGCGTAGGACGTGGATCACTCTCCCATTTGTTGTGTGGAATTAAATTGATGTCAGTTAGAGGCAGTACAAGCAGACTTGTCATCTTGTTCATGTATCGAATAGAGTCTATGTATGCAGACTATCATGCGACATGGATCCGAGACAAGTTTAACCCTGGAACTCCCGGCGAAAAAGGTGTCAAGTGGGGTAGGTCAGGTTAAGAGGGGGAAGCGGGGTCGAGGGGGTTCAAGTTTAGGGCGGACAGACAAAAATATTCTCTCCTACTCGCTAGCTTAGCCTAACTGTGCAGGCATAAAAGCTTGTCTGTACGATATATAACATAGAGACTGAATTAACCAGCTTTAAAACTTTACCTACTTTTTTATTAACAGGAAATTTTATTAGATTTATTGTAAAAGGTAATTTCATTGCAGTGATTTTAATGTTATTTTCTTGTCTTCGACCAGAACTCTTTATCTGTCTTTGAGAGCTCTTTTGGAGCATTCCAGAGCTTATTCGCTCACCACGCACTTGCATTTTTCCCCTGGAATTATCAACGGCATAGACTAGTTCTTGCATAGTCCCTGTACAAGTATATGCTTCTCCATCCATCCACACAAAGCCACTTTGAAACTGCTTTAGGCTCAACTCAAGACACAATGCAATTTCATTTAAGCAAGGCTTGACACTAACAGGTGCATAGGGAATCATTACTGTTCTGGAAAAATACATTGTTGTGATAAAATTTCACAATTCTATTACATGGCTCAGGCATCTAGATCCTTGAAATCTCAACCGAGACTCCCTTTGTAAAACGTGAGTGTGGAGCCCTATGTAAATACAGAGAAATCTGCTTTAACGATAACTTGTATAGAGAAACCTGCATTAAAGATAACTTGTATAGAGAAACCTGCTTTGAAGACAATTTGTATAGAGAAACCCGTTTTAAAGATAAATTGTGGAGAAAGACCACCCGGCGATAAAGACCTTATATTTTTTCCCCTTTGAAATAAAAATTCCTATTAAAACCTATAATGAAGCAACCTGTCTAGAAAGACCACCTGCCTATGAAGGCCACTTTTCTTGTCTCCCTTTGGCGGTCTTTACATGTTTCATTAGGCCCGTCTTCATCAGCTCCAGGTCTATTGTCAAATATCCCGCTATTTGAACTATCCCAATCGCAAATTATCCAGTTAATTTGCATCTTCATCAGCCCGAAGTTGCAATTAGCGGGATATTTGGTAGAGATAATCTTGAGCTAATTTCTCGAGCTAGAGTTTCAAGTTTTGAGGTCAAGTCTCGAGCTGATGAAGACGTGATTTTTAACTTCGGGATTATTTCCCAAATCAGAAATAGCGGGCTATTTGGCAATCTCGAGCTGATGAAGAGAGGCCTCCTGTACCAAACTAGAGCCTATGCTTGCAGACTACACCTTGCCAGAGGGTGGGAAGGCCATGATGCGATTAGCGAGAGGTGCAGGGATGCTAATTAGGAGGTGCTGAGCTGAGAAGGAGAGGAAGAGCGATGATGGCTCTTCCTAACACCCCGGGGAATACCCTGGATCATGACGTCATCCCCCTCTACCACCCCCCCCCCCCCCACCTACCCTGCATCACTCTATGATGCCACCCTAGTAAGGCGCAGTGTTGGTTTTTATTTAATTTCTTGTGCAACCATGGGTAAGTTCTTATGATGTCATCCCCTTCCCCTCCCCTACCGCCCCTCACCCCTCCCCTAATATTAACCTAGGATAACTATAACAAAATTAGATTTAAATAAACCACCCTAGAAAGGCACAGTGTTGGATATTTTTTTAATTTCCTGTGGAACCACCTGTAAGTTCTTATGATGTCATCCCCTGATTCCCCTCCCCCAAGGCCTCCCACCCTGCCCCCTTCCCCCACCACCAACCCACATAACCACCAACCCACATAACCTGAGGATATATGAAAAAGCACTCGATCCAAGTAAACCACCCTAGTGAGACGGAGAGTGTTGGTTTTATATTTCCTGAGCAACCTTGAGTATGTTGTCATGACGTCATACCCCACCACAAATTCAAACAAATTCTACCACTTCTATATCCCTACTTACAAAAATGCAAAATTTCCCAGGCATGAAAAATATGACAAACATTCTGGGGCATAAGACAGAAATAGAAATGGTCGTTAAGCCCGTACCTTGTCATTAGCTGCACATCCGGCCCAGGTACATGCTTTATCATATATATGACCTAAATAGTGCCTTACAGAAATTCCAGCTTCAAAGGATAGAGAATGGCACTGATGAGCAAACGACATACCTGAAGGGGATTCCTGTTGAAAAATACACAAGTTGTCACATTTGCCTAATGCCGGATCCTTTTCTTCACTGCAGCATGCACTACGCTGCAACCAGATGGAAACAGTCAGACCAAATCTGTCAAGTCAAAATAAGAAAGGCACGGTTAAATTTAGATGTTGAAACACACAAGGTCATGAAATATTCATTATGAATCAATCATAAAAATGTATCCATATCATTACTTTCAATAAAAGAATTGAAGAAAAAAAGAAAAAAAAAAGTATACCTTGGTACTCTTCATTTAAAGATATGTCTTCAAAAAAACATGCTGTAAGAAAACAGGAGCTTCAAGGCTTTACAAAATCTTGGTTCTCTTCACCTGCGTTGTTCTTTCTCACATAGGGAGTCCCCAGTGCAAGACGAATCAAAAGTACCACAGAAACTATTTAAAGTCTTCGCAAATATCGTTAAAAGAACTGTATCCAGTAATTGAAGCCCTATCAAACAACATTTAAAAAATCAGTCCACTTTGCATTTTTATGTAGAAAACATTTCAAAAGTGTTGTTAAAAGAACTGTATCCAGTAATTGAAGCTCTATCAAACAACATTTAAAAAAATCAGTCTACTTTGCATATTTATGTAGAAAACTTTTCAAAAGCGATATCAAATTAACTAGCTACAAACACGGAGAGAGAACAAATACAGCATCTACAAGTCCACTGGAATGTTTGAAAAAGATCTGGTGATGTAACTGGACCCCTTTGGGATTTCACAAGTACTTTTGCCATATTATCCACCGTGCTCAAGCGATTTTCCCACCGTCTGCATTTAAATATTCATTAAAAGAACCCTAGATCTCTTACCAGAATTCGTTTTACAAATGAGCAGCCCAGACGATTCCATAACTAAAACACGAGTTTAACGAGGCGGCCATTTTGGAATTGCATCTATGAAATTGGCCGAGTTAATGCAAGGTGTACGAGACGCTAAATTATTGATGCTCGAAGATGAAGACGTAGGGAGTCATCTACTTTTTACGACGGGAAGTCATTTCGTGAAGATTGCATGGAAGACACATGAAATGGTGCATGGAATTTAAATATACACACACATAAATTACAATGTCATTTCAAGACCTTTCCAAAAATGTGTATATCTATGTTTTTAATGATATTATATAACATGATCGTAATTACCCAAAGGCAATTAATTCAGACAGTCTTTTCCTTTACACGCTCCTTACAGACAGTACGTGACATGAACCTAATTACAGACAATTTATTGCAACTAAATGTTCCCAGAAACTGACTGTAATAGGCTACCCAATGTAAAGGCTGCGATAGAAGCTAATAAGTGATGATATAACATGTAAAGATACATGCAAAACCATCGCAACTTTTTTCTCAATATCACCTTAAAGAGAAGGTCGAGTTCTGGGAAGAGGTGAAAAATAATTTGGGAGCGTTATCATTGTTCTTATGCAAGTGTGGAAGAACATCAGAGTACAAAAGTCCCCTGAAAAGCATGGCTCTTCAAATGCCTTCATATTCTGAATATGACAAGTAACAGCCAGATTTTTATGCCACATGTTGTGTAGTCCCATATACATCTTTTGTGTACAGTTAGACTGGGGCAATTTTCTTATCATTTTGATGACTCCAGAACCTTGCAGTACACACCGATACTTATATGCTACATGATCAACCTTTTCTGATCAATTCCACACCGTTTCTTTCACAATGCAATCGCATGACCAGAACTCAACTTTATCTTTAAGGGCGATTTTCAATAGCCTTTTGTAAGTCCATATTCGGATTACGTTAGGTTGATTTTTTCAAAAGTAGTTACTGTCGGTTTATGCATTACCTTTCAAGTCCGGCTGTTCACTAAATTGATTTTCTTTCTTTTTCGTCCTCCATTTTAAAGACAATCAGCAAATGCCTACATGCTTTTACCGCCGTGAGACACGGAAAAAGGTATTACAGCGGAGAATCAAGATTTATTCAACGAAAGAAACAAAACAATTTCTGCAGACAGCGATGAAACTGATCCTGTCGCGTTGCAGCTGGAAAAATGGACTGGGGAGATTTAAAGTGGATTTGGTCGTGGATTTTCGCTGAGCGATACCCCGATCGTGACGTCCTCGTGTCTTTTGGTGAAGACGCAAATGTTGGAAGTCCATTTGTCATGATTAAATATGAGGGGGGATTGCTTGAGGGGAGGAGAGATGAAAGGAGCGAGAGAGAGAGGGGGAAGGATGAAAGGTTGCATGACACTGCATGGACTTGCAGTTTATTACCGAGTCACGCACAGAGAGAAGTCCACCTTAATATTAATCTGGTTCTAATAAAAGCAGAAAAATGAGAGGAATGTAGATCAGTGAAGTTTGAGCAAAACCCAATTAAAAATAAGAAAATTGGGAATTTTCAAAGAATTTTAAGAAAGGTCCTCAACACTTTGCTCTGTACAGAAATTTCATAAGATTTAAATCTCTTTGTTGATGATGATGGAATAGATTTGTTTCATAAATATTTGCAATAATTGTATTTAGGGTGCATGTATGGTTGAAAATTTTCTCAAGGAAAAATATAACCACCTGCATTTTCTTATTACAGAGCAAATGGAAGGGAACGTCGCAAGATGCGTCACAGAGTTGCCAATTTGTGTTTGATCAATCACATCTTCAAAAACTACACAACTTTATTATTTTCAATTGAGTTTTGCTCAAACTATTCAATGACCTGTTCCTCACATTTTCTGCTTCAATTGAAACCAACTTCATATCATCAGGGTGGACTTCCCCTTTAAATACACCTGTATTCCTTTTCCAGAAATTTGGATTCATTGCACTTCAAATGCTACCTTTTTCTCAATTTTTCTCAATTTTGGATAATGTCAAATTTTATTTGCAGTTAATATTTGCGTGTACTGTGTTCTCATATCTTGCATGCAATTTGTATTTCTAGGTCATCTGGAAAAAACAACAACCGTGCACCCATGTAATTAATTGGGAGTCAATACTTTGGGTACATGTTAAAAAGACATAACCGAGTGCGATAAAAATGAATGATGTAAATTCAGGTATGAACTAGGTCTATGGCATGTCATGTCATGATTGTCAATAGCGGACAGGATGTTAAAAAGCCCACATATTGAAGAAAGGTACCCTTTGTTGACATTGTCTTATTAAAACAAAATCCCCCAGAATCCCTTTTTTGGTATGATACTGGTTCTTGATATCATATTGCACAAAAACAGAAAAGAAATGGGACGGAAGCTTTTAACCGTGAAAAAAAAACAAGCATCAATATTTTTGTAATACTTTTCTCAATGTCACACACAATATCAATTTCTCAAATGATTATGAAATGAAGGGGACCACTAAAGAGACGTCATTTTACATGAAAGACACAAATATTAAACCGTATGTGTTACAAGAAATAAATTGAAAGCAGGTTACTGAACCATACATTACTTTCGATATATATATATCTTTTCAAATATCACATTAATGGCATGTTAGCGGCAAAAGGCCCCTCGGCGCTGTAAAACAACCAAAGATTTACAGCCTTTTGCTTGTAAAAATTGCCATTAGTACGTCTTTACACCACTTGAAATCGACGAGAAAAAGATAGAATTCACTCTACAGAACTCATTATCTTCCCCACAAGATCAAATTTCCTTCCTATCTAAAAGCATTTTTGTTTTCAGCAATAACATCGCACGACTTGTCCTCTCGCTACTACCCCTGGAGTTCTCTCAGCGACTTGATACATCCATTTCCCCTCCAATAACATACCTCAAACTCCCTTTTTTCCCTCGTTTTCTCCGTGCTCCTCGGCTACTTCAAAAAGACAACAGGACAGCGCCATAATTGGAAGTCACTGCACTTTTGGGACATCCAAATTTGGCCCGAAATTGAATTTTCAGACTTCGCCTCTGCTCGGCTCGGCCCTTGCAAAACGCCAGATTATTATTCTTTACAGGTTGATTTTGAATGGCATTGGGATATCGAGAATTTGGGTCACGAGAGGGGGAAAAAGAGGAATGTGAGATGGAAAAAGCAAGAAGACTGTATTTTCCATTATTACTACAATTGGACAAACATTTGTCCATCCAAAACAACAGGCTAAATTCTACAACCTTTGCAACAAGTGTTTCATAATACTGATATGAAATTGAGACAAAGTACTTGAGTAGCATCGTAAATATTACTTTTTGATAACTCTCTTTTTCTGATATTTATGTTAACATTTCCTATACTAAGGCATATTTCTTTCTAGCATATTTGTTTCTTATGAATCGACCATTTATGACATATTCCTAAAAAAGTAGAAATGAAGACTCAAATACTGGTAAACATTTATCAAGATATTACTTATTGATAGAGTTTTCTACCATCAAAAATGCAACAAAGCATCAAAAATGCAACAAAGCAACAAAAATAATCTTATGACACAAAATTCTGATTACGTATAATCCAATGCAAATCATACATCAAAACGTGTCAACAAAATGAATTATTGACAAAAGTCTACCGGTAAATACAATCCAATGCATACATATAAGCAAACATACTCTTCTAAATGTACAAACTAATCCAATATTGAATACCATGTCCAGCAATGTTTTGATTTCCAATTTCACCCATCTATTCGGTGGTGGATGATCAGGTGACCTTAGGCATCAATATCACATGATTGAGGTTCAAGGCCGTTTTGAGTAAGACGAAAAGGTGAACGCACTTTGCCTTTGCCCATTGAGCCATGCCTACGCATGTTTCATTATTAAAGACAAGGCCATCCCTTAGCTCCGTAATTAGCCGGCTATGGGAGATAACATCATTATAAATACATAGGAAGTGTTGCCGACAGTAATTGATCATCCCCAGCTTGACATCGCTATTTTAGAGATCATCCTGACTTGCTATTAAGTTTGTTTGTGTTTTTGTTTGTTTGTTATGTTCTGTATTCTGTTGTGATATGGAGGCAGAGTTGACATCGCTATTTTAGAGATCATCCTGACTTGCTATTAACTTTGTTTGTGTTTTTGTTTGTTATGTTCTGTTTTCTGTTGTGATATGGGGGCAGAGTTATTAAGGATAAGCTTGAGTTCTGGTACTGATAGAAAATAG